GCTGTTCAACGGGCGGTTGATATCAAGCTCTGGTATGTGCTCGACCTCAGCGCACGCTATTTTTAATTCGTCTTTCGTTAAGCGGCGGACTTCAGTGAGCAATTTTTAGTCAGTCGTGACGATATGGTGTTGCGTTGCGCCGGTGATTAGTAGTAACGAGGATGACTGCTGAAAAACAGTATAACACTGTTCGACTACTGAAGCGTAATTATAATTACATCGCGATACACGAGACCGATTGGAGACGTATTGGCCGAAGTCCAGATAACGGATAGGTCCGTCATGCGGCCGAATAGTGGGGATGTTGTGTATCGACCACTTGGTCAAAATGCTCGAAAACATATATGCTAATGAACGGAATCTGGTCATCTGCTGCAAATAGCAACGGGGACCCAAGTTCTATATACGTGAACGCGGGTTGTGAACGACAATGGACGTAGCGTTCACTGCACGTAGGGTTAGTTGCGCCTGTGGAGTTCGTTCTGCGGACTGTCGGGAGGACACCGGCTTCTGCAGCGGTATCGATGATATGGCGAACTTCGGGTTCGTAGTCTCGAACCTAAAACAGACGACTACGAGGATTAATAACATCGATCGCCACAACGTGTTGGCCGACTGGCTTCCTCCATCATTTTCGGAGAAATAACAGAAACTGCAGCAGAATCGAGCACAATTGCCGAACTTCTGGTGGTACTAGCAGTGGTTAGGATTGACATTTACTGTAGGCACTCGCCGATCTCGAGAACGAGATCAAGATGTTCATCGGTTAGCATTATCGAACGGGACACGCGAGCATGATCTTCGCATGGTGTGTGCTTGGATTTGACAGGTTAGTTCGTTCACACGGTCGATTAAGAATGTCAGTGCTTCCGGTGCTGCCGCGAATATTTAGGAGGCTTGTTTCCCATTTGTCTCCCAAATGAGACAGTCAACTGAGGGATGACACCAAGGATATTTCGCATATCCTTAGGTAGGCGTTGAATCCACATCTTCAAGAACGACTCGAGTTGCGTGGAACCTATGAAGTGTTACATGTGGCGAGAAGCTGTGAATGTTCCAAATCTCTTTAATCGATCTTGCTAAGTAGCTAGGCTGTGAGTTTGTGGTCAAACAGGCCGGTGCACTTGATAGCGACCTCTCTGAGGTGGTCATACAGCTTATGTGAGTCAGGCAACTGCAAAATATCGTCCATCTTGTCTGTGACATGAGGTGGGAGGGCGACGATCACGTAATGGAAATTCGTCTGTTCCGTGGTGGTATTTTGCAACTCGAAAGTGGCCACTAGATGAGCGAACCAGCTCCGAGGGTTACTCTCAGTAGATTGTGAGATTGGGACGAAAGGTGAATCGATAAAAACATCTGGCGAGTTAAAAACCTGTTCCTGCCTCATACCGGCAAGTAATAACGGCAACAAAGATTAAAATTAAATAAGCAAATAAAAATGGCTGGCTTTTCGTGAACAGGATTTACCTGCAAAAAGTTTAAATAATGGACGGACTCACCAATTTTGGTGCGTACGTCCACGTAGTAAGAACCAGACGCTAAATGATAGTACGAATAACTAGAAGACCCAACGTATATCTTGCAAAATTTATAGCAAATTCCGTGAAATGCTGTGCGATATCCATACGTAACAATAGCTAGAGAGGCTAAGGATCCAGCTGCCAAGCACACGTGCAAGCTAGGAGTGTATGTTGTGCCACTGCCACGCATAAGCCAACAAACCTTGCAAATAATCAAACGCCGTTCCCATGCATCAAGTTGATGGCATATAAACGTCTTTACGATTCTGTGTGCAATGTGAACTAGTATTTTAGGAGGTATTTTTGACATCCTACAGCAGATAGACCGGAATAATCTCCAGGTCTCCATAATGATGTTTCCATCTGGTCGTCTTTGATCAATCTGTTGTCCATATATTTCCACTTATTTTAGCTTGCACATTTCGTTTTGGATGTTCGCGGTGCACCGCTGCGTTCAGACAAGTTCCAACTCCGTCTAACTGAGTATTTGGAATGGCACGGAGCTATTGGCGGGGATCTCATTAGTAAGTCGTTTTGTGAGCATTTCTTTTTTGTCCAGCATGCTCGGGTTTTTCATATTCTCAACCAGTATGCTGTCCATAATTGATATCACTGGTATAGCCATTGTAAAATTTTTATCGACTGTCAGCATTGTTGTTACTATCAATGGTAAATATATCGGTTTTCGAACGAGATCATGGGGTAAACCCGTGTAAACGTACGCTACAGTTTGGTTTTCAGTATTTCTATTGTACCAACTCCACATGTGATTCAACTGATTGATTTTTTTATTTTATGGAGTTGTACCCGTTATTTTGTAAATCGAGTTATCTTCTGAAAATCTGTCTGAGTATAACACTAGGTCTAATTAAACGGACGCCTGAAACTTCGCATTCTCCTAGAAGAACAACCCTTACGTGCGCTGCTACCACTACTTGGCGTTCAGGCCTTTTTTCATTGCTTCGATCTGGAAGGTGTGTATAGCTTTAGTTCTTTTAAATGCAACCATGTCAACCTAACCAAAGGAGAACAATCATACGAAAAACAGATACAGTCATAAAGCTGTGTCGTATTAATGACTGCGTTAGAATGCTTAGGTAGCAAAGCACAGGTCTATAAACATGCGACATAAATATTTCCGCAGTCTGCGCATTACCTTCTTTTGAATAAAGAAGGAAGAGGTTAGAAACAGTACCGTCGAACAAAGCATCACTCAATGGTTGACCATGACCGCTAGTGTCTTATCCGATACGATCAAAAGACTTTCGGTTTCACACTAAAGCCGCGAAGCGACAACGTGATCACGAGCTTCGAGAGACACGATTGTTCCATTGATCAAGCTTACTAGTTGCTGCCTGCCACGTTGAAGACCTACTAAAAGTGGTGCTATCGCACTTCGGCTCTCAAACGCAATAGAACTGTTGATCCAGATGACCGCTTGTCTGCATTTGCCAAAGAAGGTGAGGAGGCGTTAGTAGAAGCCTTGACTTAGTTGTTTCAACTTGTGTGGACGACGGAGACCTTCCCTCTATGCTGAAGTCACTCGATACTCGTTCTCATATTCAAGAAAGGAACTGTTGCGGAAACCATAAGGAACTAGGTGGATTCCAGTCATTTCTAAGGTTCTGGCGTCCATTATAACCCGTCGACTTGTGGGTGCCGTGGTTGCAGAAATTACGGCAGAATATGCAGGATGTTGCTCTGGCTGAGGATTTATAGACTGAATTCACTCCTCACCAATTTCTGGATCAGCATCTCACGTACCGCCAGCCAACAATAGTCATTTTCTCAGCTATACATGGGCCTCGGAGCAAGTAGATCGATCCGCTCTTTAAGAGACGCTTAAAAGCAAGGGTGTGCCAAACAAGGGTGTGAACATACCTTCGACGCTTCATCCCTTTATTCCAACTGAGGTTGTAGTGTACGGTAGACTGATAGTTACAGCCCCAACAAGTTATCCAAGCCTATCTACCTCCACCATTTCTGTTCAGTTTTGCTATAGACGAAATAATGAAGGTACCCAACATAGCTGTGTGGATTGTGTACCTAGTGGAAAGCTTACTGGCCTTACCTATGTTATGGACAAGATGTTTTTTTGGCAACTTTACAAACGGCACAGACAATACTAGACTCTGTCTCGTGCTATACTAAATACTTCAAAATGAGCGGCGTAGCCTCAAGGTACAAAGTGCTTCTATAGGACTTCTGCGGTTACGCAGAATTAATGTTGGATGATGAGGTCAAGTAGGTTGTTGACTGGTTTATGTGCTGGGGAAATTGCATCGGCACTGGCGGTGACGTAGGAGATAAACTGGAAGCTCGTGTTTCCAATGCTAGTGGGGTCAGCTATGGCAACAGAGGGGTATCTTTCTGAAGTTTAAGGATCGTGTGTATATTGCGACTGTGTGAGCTGTGTTAGTTTATGGCCGCGAAAGTTGGCCGTCTAGAGTGAAAGATGTAAACTGTCCTCAGGTAGTTGACCATCGATGATTATGCTCATCCGGTCACATTGGGTAGCATCAACAGGTAAGCAACGAAGGGATTAGGAATTGGGTGTTCGGTAGTAGACATATAGTGAGTTCATCCGCTTATTATACAAGTGTGCACAGGTTTAAATGATGCGATCATGTATTAACTATGTCCGTTTGTCGTTTGCCACACCGATCACTTTTTGCCGATGCTGCGGCCAACTGGCGTAGGATGCGAGATGGACAGATGATTTGACGTAAAGAAATGAAACTGTTCCTCAGGGGGTTGGCTACTGTAGGTTGGGTTTGTATCTGGCCCGAGACCCTTGTGACTTGCAGAGTTGATGGCTGGAGAGTTTGGGTGAGCTGGTGGCTAATCGGGTTCAGTGACATGATTGTTGTTATTCGGACTGATGGTCTGTAAAATACGTGCACCTAATGACGCAAGTAAGTGAAAACCATTAGAATTACTGATAAGTAGTTTGGTAGATTTGATAATTTAGAAGAGATCCATTTGCGAAAAATCTGGACTTCGGCTGGATTCGAACCAGCGACAAAAACACTATGCCAAAACGCGGCAAGCGCTCTACCAGCTGGGCTACGAAGCCAAACCGGTAGCTCAGAAATTTCATATTTGGACCTAGTTACCCAACCAACCAACTGTGTCATATGGAATCCACTAAATAATCCAACCGATTGACTACCGAAGCAGGATTTCTCGATCAGTTCACGCTAGAGTCTACCAACGCCACCGATGAACATTGACATTGCATGACTGATATGTAGTTTGGCAGATATGATAATTTAGAAGAGATCCATTGGCTAAAAATCGGGACTTCGGCTGTAATTCAGTGTCAGTGCTCATCGGTGGCGTTGGTAGACTAGCGTGAACTGATCGAGAAATCCTGTTTGGGTAGTCAGTCGGCTGGATTATTTGGTGGATTCCATATGGCACAGTTGGTTGGTTGGGTAACTAGGTCCAAATATGAAATTTCTGAGCTTCCGGTGTGGCTTCGTAGCTCGGCTGGTAGAGAGTTTTTGGAGCGTTTGGGCATGGTGTTTTTGTCGCTGGTTCGAATCCAGCCGAAGTCCAGATTTTTCGCAAATGGATCTTTTCTAAAGCCATTAGAGATTTTTTGGGCAGATGACGCCGTACTTTCACTTGCTGCTCCGTTGTTAGTTTTAAAGTGTAGGCAGTTTGATGTTGAATGTTTTGGGGTGAGACAGTTATTTTTAGTATTTAGGTCTTCTCTCCTCCTTTTTCCTTCAGCCCAGGCTTTCTTTCTTCTCAGTGATCGTATGGCATCAGTGCGAATCACTGATGTATTGCTTTTGTTGGTGATTGCGATTAGTATAATGGTAATGAATGGTGCGTGGTCTTTCAAATCTCTCGTTGAAAGACCCCTCATGCAGGTTCCGACGGGCCTGCATCCGTAGGATTGATCAATGTTTTCCATGAATTTCTGTTGTTTTGTCTGCTTTTTTCTCCCTTCTTGCTTTTGTGGTCATTTATTTATCCGTCACTTAGTGAATTACTGTCAGGATCAACGACATTTTTTCCATATGCATAGCTCAACTCTTAATATGTGAGTTAATGCAGTCCTTTTTATATGATTGTTTTACACTTGACAGTATTTCCGCTCGCTTAGCTTAACTTGTATAATGGTTGATCACTATTGAAGTACTGGGAAATAGTCAACTAGCCTTGCATTGTGTTTGTGGATTGTGCCTAATCTGTCACCCATACTGGCTGTTCAGTGAATGTATGTCTTGCACATTTCATGGAGCTAAGCATTTAGTTGTTCTTAACTGATATGCCCCTTCACTCTCCCATTACACAGCTTGGAGTGGCTGCTCGATCGACAGGACGTTATGGCACACCGTGTAGGTGATTTAAAAATTTTGGGCAGTGAGGAAGAATATCAGAAAGTGATGATTTTCTTTGCCGAAGGTATCCACGTTGTTTATAGGGCTCTCGTAGCTATTCTCCTCAGTCATTCAGGCGTTTGGTAAAAGTGTTGAAGTGCGCCAACAAGTTATAGCCACGGCCACCGTCTACTTCAAACGATTTTTCAGTCGGTAAGTATGCGCAACAAATAGTTTGCTTGATTAACTGAACGGTCTATAGTAACTCGTTCAAAACCGTTGATGCTTGGTTGATGGCTCCTTCTTGTTTGTTCTTAGCCTCCAAAGTCGAGGTAAGAGCACTTAGCCTGTAGTATCTGATTTTGAGCCATTTTAGGAGTTTGGCATGCTTTCACAGAAAAATCTTCTAGCTTCTTGTCGCAATGTCGGTATGTTTATCTATTTTTAATATGTATTCACCCTTACTGTTTCGTAACTTATAGTGCATGCCCACTATTCTGCATATTTTCCGGACGGATTTGGATATCCGTACCGCGCACAAGATGTCTTAGAATGCGAATTTATGCTTCTCGAGGCCATGGTAAGTTTATTTTTCAGTTGTTTCCCTGTACGTTTCACTTCTGGTTGAACTATCTTCTCTTCTGTGTTGCTCTATCTGCATTAACTCATCCTTCCTATCATCGTTTTCGATAGCACTACACCTACGATTGGCATAGGTGCTTCAATATCATATGATCACGAGAAAAACAAAGGCCTAGTTTTTTATGACAAAAGAGAAGGTCATCATCATCATCATAGACAACAAGACATCAGTGGTTCACACTGATGCTTCACTGCCACACAACCACGAAGGAAAAAACAACCTATATGTGAAGAGAGGGAAGAAAAGGAAGGGAGGGGAATGGACCTAATTACCAAAAATAGCTACGTCTATATTCAAACATACAACATCAAGGCGCCTACACCTTGCAAACAAACAACCGGGCTGTTAGTGAAAGTAAGGCGTCATCAGCATGACAGCTTCCTTACGGCTTTCACTGCTCGCCGCACTCACTTCACAGACAACTCGGCCAACCAACGACAACATTCACGCCATTGAGCTCGGTTAGCCGCCATCTCCTTTAACGTCTCCAATCACCGACTGTGTGAGTTGCGAGGACCACAGTCTGGGAGACGAACTCTATCGTGACCAACCCCTTCGTGAACGATTTCGTTTATCTACGCCAGGTCATCATCTGTCCACCTCGCACCTTGCGCTAGTCGGTCGCAGTGTCGGTAAACAGTGCTCGGTGGGGCAGACGACTAGCTGGCATCCTTACTAGATGACCTAACCATCTGAGTCCGCGCAAGTGTAATGACTGAACGAAAGAACTCGTTTGACAATCAGTACCAAACAACCGTTTTCTAACCTCCGCGTTACTCACTGGTTGGTGCCACCCGATACGAGCGATTGAACGCAGGCATCGGTGGTCAAACACCTGAAGACGGTTCAGGTCTTCTACCCTGAGTGGCCATGTTTCGCTGCCGTAAAGTAATACAGCCCTCACTGTTGTCTGATATACGCGACCCTTAAGCTTCAGAGAGTTACCTTTCGGTCGCCATAAGTGCCTCAGATTAGTAAGCACCGCTCTATTCTTGGAAATACGCGCCTCTATTTCATTCCCTACACCTCCGCCGCTGATGCAGCTTCCAAGGTAAACAAACCGGTCAAAAACCTTCATGGCTTAATTATCTAATAGTAAATCGACGTAATCACAGCAATCTTGCAGAGGCACTGTATTTTGAGGCTGCAAAGCGCATTCCGAAATGCTTAGCAGAACGCGAAAGAGCGTCTAGCGTTGTTTGTGCCATTTGAAAGTTGTCAACCAGCAACACCTTGTCGTCAGCATAATCAAGATCTATCAGTCTTTCATCAGGAGGGAGGTCCACGCCAGCATCCTGTGACTGCCGAAGACAGTCCTCCATTATTTCGTCTATGTTGAAATTGAACAAAAATGGTTAAAGGGGACAGGCTTGACGTACGCCGCTCCCGGTGATGAAACTGTCAGAAAGTTCACCGTAAACCCTAACCTGAGCTGAAGTGTGGGACTAAAGAGCTCACAGTATGTTCACATACTTGGTCGTTACGCTTTTGCGTTTAAGCGACTCTAAAAGTGTAGATCAATTCACGGAATCGAACGTACCTTTATAGTCGAGGAATACGTGGATTGTTGGCCGGCGGTAGACATGACGGTGCTCCAGATTTTGACGGAAGATAAAAATGTGATCTACTCAACCCCGCCCAGGGAGAAACCCTGCCTGTTCTTCTCTAATGTTTACCTCGCGAACTGCAGTTAGTCCACGAAGTTTAATGGATGCCAGAACCTCTGAAATGACTGGGGTCAAACTAATTCCCCCTTGTGGTTTTCACAAGAGCCCCGGATCAGCTTGAAGAGTTTACCGGTGTTCCCTGAGGCAAAAGCGGTTTCCATTTCCTTAACATTTTTTACTAACCAAGCCTCACGATCAGCTTTTAAACCAAATTTCAGTTTCCTACGGTTATCTCTTCTAGACTTGTTATGTGAACTACCAGGAGGAACCTTCCGTCTGGCTTCTAACAACTCCAGAGATTTCTCTGAGATCCAATGTTTGTTCGACCCACGAACTCTTATGCCGCATGACAGTGCTTGCTTCATGATCGGTTTGTCAGATTTGAGTCCAGCAGCTATTAGGATCTTCGGAGTGAGTACCTCTAAGGCAGCCTTCTAAGCTTGTTTGGTACTTATGCTTTACCGATAGTAAAGCCAGTTTCTCAACAGCCAGTCGTTGCTGTCGGTGGGGTCGTTGCCCAGCAAAAGTAAGAACAAAGCGACAACGTACCAACGCATGATCTGAATCCAAGCATGTGCTCCAATAAGAATGACAGTTCTGAATGAAACCACGCCACCTATAATTAACAGCGATGTGGTTTATCTGAGACCAGGCCTGATTCGGAGAAGGCGGGCTCTAAGTGTACCATTAATGTGCGCGATGTCTAAAACTAGTGTTGGCTAAAAATAGTTTATGCCCAGCGCACAGCTATAACAGTCGCCCGCTATTATTCGAACGATTTGATGCTATCCCAAACCTGCCACCTAATTGAGATTTGGCTCCACCAAGGCAACCGACCTGGGCATTCACATCTCTGGCCAGAACGACTATATCAGAGCCACGTGTCGACCGTAGAAGAGCAGCCAGGTCTAGGTAAAGTACGTCCTTGACGCCGACGTCACTACAGTCAGTAGGAGCGTAAGCAGACACACTGAAAAGATTTTTGAAAGTCTACAGCTGGCCTTAACAGAACCTGCCAAGCGGACAGCACAGAGTCTACTGTTAACAGGAGTCCAATCTACTAATGCGGTTGCAGCCGTCATGCTGAAGACTCTACCTACTCCAAGCTGACCTATAACAGCGGCTGTGGAGTCACCCGAAGAGTATAGTCAGTATCGGGTAGACAATCCGGGTGCTGTTAGTTCCATACGTTGACTACTCTCCTAGATTCTAGTCTCCGAAATGCAACAGACGTCAACATTCAGCGAGTCTAACGTTCGGGCAAGAGCGGCCTGTTGACCTATCTGTTTTAGAGTGTGACCGTTGAAGGCACTTATATTAATTCGCATTCTAGGTCTATTCAAGGGACGAAAGAGGTCTGAAGCTGAATGACAAAAGATAGAACTCACCGACTCAGTGTTACCATGATTAACTATATCTGTTGTGGGACCTGTAAAGTAATTATCAGAAATGGAGGTCGGGAGGAACCTGAAAGCTAGATTTGATAGGACAGTGGGGGGGCGTCAGCAATAGCGTATTTTCGCCTATTCACCCTGCTGTATGCAGCAGATAGGGCGACCCGGTTTATACTGCGAGACGGCCGATGCAGTGTGGAATTACTTGTGTTGTGATTATTCATGGTTGTGTGTGGGCTGAAATACTGTCAGGACGCCCAGACCTAGACAGGAGAACAATTGGGGTTCTCAACCGAAGCTTTTGTCTCGGAAGCCTGTACCGCAAGGCAGCGGGTGGGTGGCAGTGTACCAGAACTGGTACATTTTTCGGAAAACTATGCCAACCTTCTTCCAACCCCCAACCTGGAGGACTAGGAGACTGATTTGTCAGACCTCTACCTATGGGTCTGCTTGGTATGAGTTACTCTATCGGTGTTTTGGCCACACCGCCCAGTTTGTCCCAGTAGTTCAGCGAGATTCGCA